TATTAATTTAATAATAATAATAATCATATTATGATTAGGCCTTGCTTAATATTTTTGGGTTATTAAAAATTCTACACCATAAGGTATAGGATCATGGAAAGTGATGATTCGTTCAATGTTTGAAATTTAAAAACGTCTGTATAGCCTATTATTAATGTAAGTAAATCCTGTAGAAATTAATAAATTAATAATAAAATTCAGTTTCCGTCTTTACTAAAACGAATTGGTCATGATGATTTTAACTTAGAGTAAAAGTTCAATTCAAAATAAAGTCATGTCAACTTTTTCAAAACAATTGAAGTAGATTAAACTTATTCTACTACCCTCAGTTAAGTTCTCAAATTTAATTAACAACCTAATCTTTAAAATGTATGAATTAATTTAAAAATTATATTTAGATTTATTGGGTTTGCATTGATCATTTTTCTATTTAATAGTGTCTGATTTAATTTTTTTATCAGAGATTATTAAAAATAGATAGATTGCAATGCTTTTTGCCCTTAAAATATTTAACCAATCATGAGATGAAAGGATGTTTGAAAGGGGAAACATTATGTGGGTCATTTTAGTTAAAAAGGAAATTTATAAAACTTCGCAGTAATTTTTATAAATGATAAAACATTGGCAATAAYACAGTAAAATGTAAGTCAACATTCTTACATTTTTAATGATTACTAAATATTGTATACCACGGATGCAATTAAATTCTTAAAAATATATTTCCAGCATTCGATATAGATATATTTTTGTTTAAACATTTCAAGATTGTTATTTTTTTTTTAAATATATAATTTACAATATAAGCTACTATGACCTGAATGGATTATTGAATATATAATTAACCGAGTTGATGTTATATTACTCTGAATAAAATTCAAAAAGATCAATAAAAAAAATTAAAATTTCATTATCTGAAATATGTTTCCAAACAAAAATATGAATACTAGTCAATAATTGAAAATAATTAAATTTTTTTTTTTTGATTAATATGGGTAGGCAGGCACCATTATGTTTATTGTGAAATGCAGTTGATTATAACCGTAATTATTATAATATCTAAAGTTTAATTCTTTTTTGTATACTTTGGGATTTTGTTCTTTATGACTCACTCAGAAATTAAAATTAAAATTGAATACGTGTCTTTTTCACGTAATATAATGCTTCAGCGTATAGTCATGAAATTAATTTTCTACTAGGTACGTGGTAAGATTTTTATTATTGTTGTTTATATAATAAGAGTTTATTTAAGTTTTAAAATATATTTTATTATTAATAATTTAATATATTTATGATCTTAATTTGCACACACATCTATAAGGTAATATCTTACCTAATAGTAATATTTGTTTTATATTGAATTGTTWAAATTTGATGATCCCATATTCCCATGTGTAACCCATTTTTTTAAAGCACTGAAACTTCATCAAATAGTTTGAATAATTTCATTAAAATTAGTTCTTGTTTCCAAACGATATCAGAACATTAAAAATAATTTTAAAAACCATCCATATTCTAGCATATCTGATGTGTATATTTTCTTATTTTATAAATTATAATAACATACAGAACAGCCTAGATACATGAATACAATAACATTTGAATGTAATTTCCCTCGGGTAGACAAAAGCCATGTTTTGATTCATGAAAAATGTAATCTAATTGCATCTTTGCGTTAAAACACGTATATGTAACTATATTAACCTATATTATACATGTTGAAAWATAAATTACACTATGGACAACACATTTTGATGAACAAACTAATAACAAAAGTTCATATGACAATATATTTTATTACATCACGTAATGTTGCACTTTGAATAACAATAACTGGACTATATAAAATTCAAGTACACACAATTATTGTGTGAAATATTATATATTATTTTATGTCAACAAAAGTAAAAATAGATTTTATACATTAAAGAAACGTTATTTATTCACCAATCGTTGGTAAAAAAATCAAATAATTAATTGAATATTCTAATATTCCATAAGCCAAATATTGCCCATTAATTTTTACTACAACAGTACAACACATTGAGTCATTTACTAACWTTAGGATTGGGATACCATTTTTCTAATTATATGTACTATGGATCTCTAAAATAGAACGATAGAATGAGTACTAAAATAATATATTATAGTCCGTATTAATAAATAAGATATAGGCGTTTTACGTTAAATTGGCAATAGCTTAAAATTGATCTACATATTTTTTTAAATGTCATTGCACACAATAAAATATAATATACGTAAAAGTTTCAATTCATCACAAATTTTTTGAATTATAACAATTATTCGTTATTCTTTGTTTAAATATTTAATTTCGTCAATATTTAAGCTTAAAATATCTATCCAAAAATTATACTAATTATAAATAAATTATATTAATTTTTTAAATTGTTTAGGATTTAGTTGCAACTGTACTTATGATAAATATGGGATGTCATTTTTAAGGGTTATTGACCARGCCTAGCAAGCCTAAAAATAGTTTTCAACACTTTAAACAAATATTAATATAAAAACTTCAAAACTCCAAACGCATATCAATAACAGCTTAAAATTAGTCTTAAGTATTTTGAAAAAATGAATAATATAAAATTATAATAAGTAGCAATGGATTACTTCTATTATAGTATTATTAATTAACTTCCTACGATTATATACAAAAATTGTTTGACGGGAAATTATTATTTTACGCGTGAATACCAAATGTTACTCAACAAATAAACTTCAGTCATTCATATTACATTTTTGTGAAACAATGCATTCAATTGATTTTTTTAAATTCTTGTATCCTTGTATTAAATTTTCGAACCTTAATTATGAATTTATTTTTATAATTATTTTATTTAAAATGTTTCAGCTAATGAATTTTCATATACATATTTAACATAATTGGAATTTGACATATTTTATATAATTAATGGTCTGATCTTAATGTTTACAGAGCAATATTTAAGATTACGGTAATTTTTCTATGTGTTATAATCAGAGAATTAATATTAAATATAGATTATGATAGTTTTAATAAGGTTTGTGGATGAATTTGGTATTGAAATTAATTATTATTATTATGGAAGTTTGTTGTGAGTTTGTTTAAAAGGTCGGTAAGTAGAGAGATTAAAGGTTTTAGATTCGTTMAAAATTCTTGACATTGAACCGGAAGTATTGGATGTTGGTTGATCCGTTGATCGGCTATTATGCTGGTGTATGATGGACCGGAGGGGGTTATATCGGTTACGCGAGGACAGAATGAGTTTGAAGTCTACCTTTTTTAGTTTATTTGTGGATTCTGTCAGGTTTGTGTACCTTATATAGTCTTTGTATGATACTGATGACTAGGGCAGAGGACTTGAAGCATTTGCATATTTGATTTACACTGTCAGAAAAACAAGAGTTACGATACAAAAACATTTCAAGCTCTCACAAAGCTAGTTTTGAAATTTTATTGTGCATTTAAATGTATATTTTGTGTTTTTTTGGTTTTTAAGGTATATTTTACACTTTTATTTTCTATTTTATACTTTTTGAGACATATTGAACTTAAATCGATTTTTTCCACTGTGACATTTTTAAGTCAAAAAATTTGGATAAAAATGTATTTATTTTTAATTTTTGTCGTATAATATGGTTTTTTACTGTACACGGGYACATATTTTTCGTAGAAGCGATAACGATCTAACGTTGTACACTATACCTACGACATCACCACCACAGCTTTGTACGCACCACGCGGGCTTTTATTCGATTAGGATTTATTTGCAGCAAATGTTATTCCGGGTAATTCTCCAAGGCGTTTAAAACGCAACTGGTGTAGAAATATGCTAACTTAATGTTATAATATATAAATTAATGTATAACCTCAATTTATAAGTGTCATCACTGGGTGGCTGCTTTTATCAAGCTTATTCATGTATTTTATTTATCTCAGCTAATACTCTTATTGTACCCATGAGGTACAGATTGAGTATATAATAATAAAGGAAAAAAAAGGATTTATTTACAAAACGTTTCTAGACATGACAATAATAAATATTTTAGCATTTAGTCTCTGTCAGTTCTGCGGAATGTACATTAACGTTAAAAAAAATTATAAGTGCATAAGTGCTTCCACATTTTGAGTTTTTTTAGAGCTACAAGTCCTCTACCCTACTGATGACGCTGTATGTGCACTAGAGTATAGTACACGTCTAGCCGATGGACTACGTTTTTCTCTAGTCCTGCACGTGGATTATAATATTATAGTTTGTCATTGAAATTCATAGTTTTTTACATAGATTTCCGAGGGCGTTCAAGAGGGCTTAGGTGAGACTTCAGTTTGAGGTGGTCGCTAATACCCAACTATGTTATTATTATGTAGAAATAACTAGGTTTGGAAAGCGCTGCGTAGCGATCGGTGAACTAAATGATTTTTATTTTCATCTTGTCGAAAAATGTAAGGAAAAATGTCATTCTGATTGCAGTGTTTTTTGTGGTGATCAAAGAAGCGTCATGTTTGGCGGGCCCGATAAGCRGTGTAACGTAGGTAAGTTAAGTGATAATGTGAAATTGTTTGTGTGCGATTACTTCGAAATTGGTAATAACACTAATAACAGAGCTCGATTAGTAAGTATGTGCCCGTAGTGCAGGTAGTTAACATGCATTTTTAACCATTACAAAATTTGAAAATTTTCGTGATTCTTACGAATTTCTTTACATTATTCTTACTTCAACCTCAAATTCCAATATTAAAAACTTATTAAAATCTTAGTATTATGATTTTAATGTTTGATAAACAGCTAAAAAAGATTCAAACTCTGAGTGAAAATTTCAATTAGCTACGATTATTTGAATTTGAGTTACAATGTAATAACAAAATCGACTTTGTGAAAAAATTCTAATTTTTCCCTAATTTATTAATTATTTCCCCAATTTAATGAGAAGATACTGTGATTTTTATTTCTCACTGATATTATTCATTATAATAGAATATCTAATATATAATAATAATATAGACGAATGGTCTAATACTATACATATAAACAATTTATTTTTTCGAATAGCAAAAATTAAGGTTGATATATCATAGTAGACTTGATAAATAATATTAATCAATTTATTAATAATTGTTATCAAACCATTTTCATACTTTTTCTTATACTTGTGAAGTATTATTTATGCAGTCACTTATACAAATATTCTTACAACCATAAGAACCAATTATATTATATAAGTATTTAAGTACTAGGTATATGATATTACGACTCTTGAGTCTCGAATTATAGTCATTGTCAGTAGTTCATTGCGCYTTTTAAGTATTTTATAGCAATAAACAAACTAAGAACAGAAAAAATAAATAAGTCAACGATTTAATTTTAAACATCGTTTGACATTCTACTTTTAAAATGATATCTTATGACATTATATAGGTATTATATTACCTATTGTAATTAGAGATTATCAACAATCTAAATATTTTTGTATTTTAATTTTAAAAGTGATCAAAATTTCACGTAGTTAATGTTTAATATATTTTTTCGACCTAAAATAATAATACAAATAAAAAAATCAATAAAAAACCATAATTTATTATAAGGATATTTAGGATATTTTCCAATTTGTAAGTTATAGCCAATAACAACATTTTAGCTATCAAAATCTCATACATAATCCCATTATATAACTTGACTAACTAATATTTTGAACATTATAGATCTATTTTGTATAATTAATTTAATTTTTTTTATAATTGTTTATACTCGTATAATGTAATACGCTTATAGTTATCATGGAAGTTGCGTGTCTAACTACCATTTGCACAAGTTCAACCAAGCAAATAATATTAGTCGATTGTGGTCAACATTTGTATATTTTATAATATGTGTAGTCTAATCTAAATATAATAATATGTGCGATGTACCTATAAAGGTATAATATTATTAATATCGAATTATACAACCAGTAAATCGGTAAATATTCTATAGGTAAATATTTGTAATTTATTGTTATTTTTGAAAGACTTAGACAACTTATATTATATTTTATTATTATTTCTTTATTCTATCCGCTGGTCACTTATTATATTTTCTAATGGTGTTGTAGCAGCCAATAATTTGTATTTTATGGACACTCAAACTAATCATATATTAAATTAACAGTTGATTAAATATCTTTTTTAACATTTAGGAGTAAACACATATAATAGAAAACAATCTGAGGAATTGCTCTGCTATAAAAAAGTTGTTGATTTTCCACTCCATTCATTAAGTAACTGTTAATTGTAATGAAAGTGTTAAATTTTGATTTAATTATAAATCATTATATACCGACGATTAAAAACGATAATGAGCACAAACCGTCTGCCAGCACAATCATTTATATATTATTATATTATCAATTATTTTCTATCAGTAATACAGCATACTGAGCTTTCTTTTGCAAAAAACAATTACATACTCGTATATCATAATATCCTAATAATTATTATTTTTATGGTCGTTTAATAGCACCGTTATTAATATTATTAAGACAATACTAACGTACCGTAGAATGGCGTTAGTAAGTAAATAGGTTCATAATGCAAATAGCTTATATAATTTATAATTTATTTAAATATTTTGTAAATTCCATTAAGTATATTTATCTAACACTAAATAACAATATACCAACCTATTACGTATATAATGGTGAAAAGTCTCAAATGCCAACGAATAATGTTTTTGAATTATAAAAAATGAACTAAAATTGTTATTGTTCTTTTATTCAACTTTATAAAAATTTGAACTTTAAAAGGCTGTAAAAAATTGGAAATATATTATTTTTGAGATTTTTATGTTTCTTAATGAAAAGCATTTGAGGAAAGGCTATACGATGTAAAATTTCCAAGTTTTAGTCTATCAAATTGAAAATTGCATGAACTTTTAAACTATGAAAAACCTTTTGTCCGACAGCGCATACATTTTTTATCAACATACATAGAAGGAATCATAAATAATATAATTTCAACATTTTAAATTTCTGTATAATAGCATACAAAAAGTAAAAATTATTTTTTAAATGCTATAATGTATAAGATATAATAATATAAAAATATTCGTAGTAATGAACAGTTTTAAGTACCTACATAAGATTAATTGTTTGGAGTACCTATAATAACACAATTAGTATGAAATTCATTTTAAGTTTATTTGTTATAATATTATACGTTTAAGCTTTATGTATTTTGTATTCAATTTCGTAGAAATTCCCGTTTATCCTTAATTTTTTTTTTGGTTTTTTCCGGTGTTTTTTAAAACTACTGGGAAATTCAAAATCAATACGCTCAATCGCTCCACTCAGAACCTAAAATTTGAATTTATCATGCTTATAATTATTCGTTATTTACTGTAAGTAAATTCGGATATTCATTTTTTTTTTCTTTATTTGGAATAGGCAATTTATACCTAAGGGGCACAATAGGTTTATGTGGATAGAGTATAAATATAAATTAATCTTAATAATCACATACACAATTATTAAAATAATTAAATATTAACAGACTATACTTGATGTGATATATTCATTTTTTAACTACGAAAAAACAAACAAAATTTCTCTGCAAGAGCACAAGTCTTTGAATTCAAATGATAATTTTATTATTCCTAATAAATACCAAATGATTTGAATTTGAAAAATGTAACATTTTTCCATCGAAGTAGGTAAGAATGTATAATTGATTGGGTACATGGAAAAAAAAATAATGGACATTTATTCAAAGTTGATAAATAATAATTGGATAATTTTATATTTTATTTAGAGTATCTTTTATTAGAATTTAGTATACTTCTTTTCTTGCTGTGAATTGTAATTAACTGAAATCTATGAATTAACATATTTTTTTATGTTCAAAATATATTGACTGTTTATTCAATGTAATTAAATAATGGATTAAATTCACATATATCACAAGTCATTTTAGAGTGATTTTACTATGATGTATTATCGAAMAATATTTTTTATACATTTCAACCATAACATTTTAAAATTTAGTCACTTTTGAGCACAATAAACCATCGCTTGATTTTATTAGCTACTTTATATGAATACTTAAAGTTCAAATTTATCCAGTGTACAAAGTCTACGTGCTCGCATTGCTTAACTTTCATATAATATAATATCCARCCTATATAAATTCAGTGAAGTATAGTAAGCACACTCCATTTTTTTTATTTYTTTACTATTCTTTTAACTATCTGATGCCGGTGTATTTATATTAAATAAAAACTGTAGTTTTGAAATTATTAACGTACTTCTATAACAACTATGAAAGTTTATATTAAACAATTTATCCTTACTAAATCAGCTGAATGCCCTCATTAGTTAAAGCCRATAAAACTTTAAAAAAGTTAAATTGAAAAAAATCAATTTGTGTATATTGCAGTCCAAATTTATTAGGAATATTACTTGTATTTTCAACTCATCATGAACAAATTTGACAGACATCATCACACAAGGATTTTTAATTCATTCTATACCATTATAATTTGTATTTGTTATATATACCTGCAAATGAACCAAC